CCTTAACCTACAGCAATTTGCATGACAGGGATTCTCATCTGAAATCATGGAGGTCAGAAGGAAATGGCACAATATTTTTTAAGTGCTATACGAACCCAGAATTCTATATCCAGTGAAAATTTCCTTCAGAAATGAAGGAAAAAATTAGACAATTTGTCACGGCAGACATCCCCTAAAAAAAGGCTAAAGGAAGTCTCCAAATAAGTGATAAAAGAAGTAATTTGGGAACATCAAAAGGAAAAAAAAAACAATAGATATGATAAAAATATGGGTAAACGCAATAGACTTTCCTCTCCTCTTGAGTTTCCTAAATTACGTTTGATGGTTGAAGCAAAAATTATAACATTGATTTGGTTTTTAGTGTATATATAGGAAATGTTTTTTTAAAGGTATTTACTAAAAAATATAGCTAACATACCATATTACATTAGTTTCAGGGATACACCATGGTTATTCAACCTTTATATACCTAAATAAGCGATCACCATAGTCCAGCAACCATCTGACACCATGTATCATAGTATCACAATATTATTGACTATGTTCCCCATGCTGTACAATACATCCCCATGACTTGTTTGTTTTATAACTGGAAACTTGGACCTCTTAGTGTTCTTCACATTTTTTTCTCATTTTTTAGTTTTTCAATTACAGTTTGCATTCAATATTAATTTCAGGTGTGCAGCATAGTGCTTAGACATTTGTATAATTTAAGAAGTGATCCCCCTGACTAGTCTAGCATCCACCTGGCACTATACCTAGTTACTACAATATCATTGACTATATTCCCTATGCTTTGCTTTACATCCTCATGACTATTTTGTAACTACCAATTTGTACTTCTTAGTCCCTTCCCCTTTTTCACCCACCCCAAACCCCTCCCATCTGGCAACCTTCAAATGTTTTCTGTATCTGTGAGTTTCTGTTTTGTATTTTGTTCTTTAGATTCCACATATAAGTCAAATCACATTGCATCTGCCTTTCTCTGTCAGACATACTCCACTCAGCACAATACCCTCCAGGTCCATCCATGCCACGGCAGATGGCAAGAACCCATTTCCTTCCATTGCCGAGCAATATTCCATTGTATATATGTACCACCTCCTCTTTATCCATTCTTCCATTGGTGGACACCCAGGCTGCCTCCACATCTTGGCCATTGTAAACAATGTTGCAATGAACATATGGATGCACATGTCCCCTCCAAGTAGCATTTTGGGTTTCTTTGGATAAATACCCAGAAATGGGATTACTGGTTCCTTCTTTGTCTCTTATTATAGCCTTTGTTTTAAAGTCTGTTTTGTCTGCTATAAGTATTGCTACCTAGCTTTTTTGTTGTTGTTGTTCCGTTTCCATTTTGATGAAATATCTCTTCCATCTCTTTATTTTCCATCTGTGTGTCTTTCAATTTGAAGTGTGTCTTTTGTAGACAGGATATGTAAGAGTTTTATTTTCTTATCCATTCAGCCACCTATCTTTTGACTGGAGCATTTAATCCATTACATTGAAACTAATTGTTGATAGATGTGTAGTTATTGCCATTTTATTGTTAATTTTATTTATTTATTTATTTATTTATTTATTTATTTATCAATCATCTTAAAGAAGTCCCTCTGACATTACTTGTAATACTGGTTTGGTGGTAATGAACTCTTTTAGCTTTTTCTTGTATGGGAAGCTCTTTATCAGTCCTTCAATTTTAAATGAAAGCCTTGCTTTGTAGAGTACTCTTGGTTGTAGGTCCTTGTTTTTTATCACTTTGAAAATTTCATGCTAATCCCTTCTGGCCTGCAAAGCTTCTGTTGAGAAGTCAGGTGACAGTTTTATGGGAGCTCCCTTATAAGTTATTAGTTGCCTTTCTCTTGCTGCTTTTAGGATTCTCTCTCTGTCTTTAACTATATGGAAATATTTAAGATAATTATAAATGGGGGAGAGTAAAGGGATGTAAAGGGAAGTCAGATTTCTAGATTTCGTTTGAACTACCACATTCACTCTGGAAAATAATTTGGCAGTTTCTTTAAAAACTGAACATACACTCACCATACAACCTAGCAGTTATACTTCTGGGCATTTATCCCAGAGAAGTAAACACTTGCATCCATGCAAAAACCTGTACACAAATGTTCATAGTAGCTTTATTTGTCACAATCAAGAACTGGAAACAACCAGAATGTCCTACAGGAGGTGAATGGTTAAATAAGCTGTTGTACCTCCATACCATGGAATACTACTCAGGATTAAAAAGAAACCAATTGTTGATACATGCAACTTGATGAATCTCAAGGGCATTATGCTGAGTGCAAAAAAAACCAGCCTGAAAAGGTCTCAGATTGTCTGATTCCATTTGTGTAACATTCTAAAATGACATATTATTATAGAGATGGAAAACAACTTAGTGGTTCCCTGCAGTTAGGGAAGGTAGGGGGAGAGAAAAGTGGGTGTGAATATAAAGGGCTAGCAGGAGGGAGATCTTTGTGGTACTGTAACATTTCTTTCTCTGTCTTGGTGGTGTTGGTGGTGGTTACATGAATCTACACATGATAAAATACCACATACAACATTGTGCCAATGTCAGTATCCAGGTTTTTTGGGGTTTTTTCTTTAGATTTTTTGTATTGGGGAATTGGGGGAGGGGAACAGCCAAGTTATTGTCCTTCGGCCTTAATTGTGGAGGGCGCAGCTAGCTCAGCTGCAAGTCCAGTCACCATCCGGCCACCCATCGGCAGCTTGTGGCCGCTCAGCTCATGGTGCTGTGTTCAATCTTAGTTGCAGGTGGGCGTAGCCCACCATCCCATGCCGGAGTCGAACCAGCAACCTTGTTGTTAGGAGAATGTGCTCTCACCAGCTGTTGGCAGCTCAGCAGCGGCTCAGTTCGGGCGCAGCTCACTGGCCCATGTGGGAATCGAGCCGGTGACCCTGTTGCTCAGAGCTCGTGCTCTTTCTTAACCAACTGAGCCACTTGGCTGGCCTGTCAGTATCCAGGTTTTGCTTTGAGCTCTAGTTGTGTAAGATTGGGTGGAATTGAGCCAAAGTGTGCACAGGTCCTATCTTTGCAACTTTTGTGAATAAATAATGATTTGAAAACAATTTTTTTTAACTAACAAATTGTTGACATACACAACAAAGTTAAATCTTCTTTTACTTAACACAGTGCATTTGTTTTTAAAATAAATGCATTATGCTAAGTGAAAGAAGCCATACTCAAAAGACTATGTGCATACTGTATCATTGACATGCAGGAAAAGGCAAACTGGAGGGCAGAGAACTTATCAGTGGTTGCCTAGGATTAGGGATTGGGGGTTGACCACAAAGGGGCAGCATGAGGGAATTTTGGGAGGCAATAGAACAGTTCTGTATCAGGGTGATGATGGTGGTTATTCAAGTCTATGCATTTGTCAAAATTTATAAAACTGTAAAAGAGTGAATTTTAGTGTATGTAAATTTTAAAAATCAAAGGAAACTATAGTAGTCAAATAGAAATACATTTTCTAAGAACTTACCTTTCGTTGACTGAGAAGTTTCCAGAAATTTCTAATAAATACGTGTTTTCTTTCCCAACAGGTGATGCTATGAGTGAAGAAGACATGCTTCAGGCAGCTGTGACCATGTCTTTAGAAACTGTTAAAAATAATTTCAAAACAGAGGGAAAAAAATAATACCTTTTACAAATCCCTTAGATCTTCATACTTTCCAACATTATCCTGTGTGGTCACAGCCATAGGGTCCATTTTGGTGATGTGTCAAAGAGAACAATGTTCAACAGAGGAAATAAGACTTTTAGGTGGTTTGAAAACAAAAAGATGACAAAGTGGAAAAATGCATCAGTCATAGGACTAAATAATGATCCTCCAAATGGTAGCCAAAGAGGCATTCAGCAATTAAAGAAATTTTAAATAGTTTTCTAAATGTCTCTTTTTCATTTTTGAGTGTGCAATATCTAAAATTAGGGCATTTTTCTTGGATCTTTTTGCAGACCAACTAATTAGTTCTTGCCACAGAACTTTTCCCATACATTTTTGTTTTCTTTTTCTCCCTTCTGTGTAGGTAATTTGGCTCTCTTTCATCATCTAATACTTGCTTTAATTTCTTATTAACCAAATTCACCTTTTAGGACAGTGTTTCTTCTCATGTTGATAATAGTAACGTTTCCAGAAGGATGAGCTGTTCGCTCTCCACCTATGTGAGGTGCACTTGGCTGTTTTCTCATGTTATTGACTCTGATCATCATGGCTCTGCTACTTGGTTTTTCGTATTTTTTACAACTTTTTTTTTACAACTCTTTTAAAAGATGGTTATCTTTCTTGAGGTTTGCTTTTTAAGCCCTTCAAGATGGGATCATTATTTCATGATTCTGGTGCATTCCTAAACTCTGAAATCAGATCTGCACAAGTATTTCAGAATAAATGAACATTTTTTAAAAATGTGTGAGCACATCCTTTCCCAGATGCTTTATTGAATGTCTTCTCAGTTTTGGCCGAACTTTGCAGCTTTGCCGTAACCCTAATTCCAGCACCTTATTCTTTCCTCTCTTTTCCAATTGAGAAAAGCAAGTATGCAAGCAAATTTTCCTTCTGTTAACACTCATAAGACAACGTATAATACCCACCATGAATGTATGATAGACAAAATTGGCCTTCAACTTTAGTAGCAGTTTCTTTTTATTTTTCTCGTGACTGGAGCAGTCTGTTCTATTTACAGCTGATTCATGAAATATAAGTGTCTGCTTCTGCTGTACATCTTCTAGTAGGTATAGCTTGCCAGAGGTGATGATCTGGAACATGAAAATAATTTACTAACAAAATATATTTAAATTTATACTTTGATTTAATACTTGCATCACGTTTAAATAGCTTAAGAATCATAGAAGTCACACAGTACTTAATGGGTCTGTAAATTAGAAAGTCTTTAGTTATGATAAACATTCTTGCATTAGGATGCAGTTTCTTGCTAGGTCAATACAATGGAATGATTTTGGTGAAAACTAACCATATCTTTTGAATTAGGCATTTAGATTCTGTCATCTATTCCCCATCCCTCATTCTCCATCCCCTTTTGAAGCCCTTTTGAATGTTAAATTGTTCATAAGCTAAAATTTAAGAAGAAATTTCAGCTGACGACTTAGAAAGTTACAGTATGGTATGTTGCCGTACTGGTGTGTGGCTGCACACATTTTATCAGGGAAATTTTTTTGATCTAGGATTTATTCGTATTGCTAAGTGAAAAGAGATGAGAAAATGCCTTTTATTTATGATTATGATACAGCTTTTTCTTGGATAGTGACAGATTTTTTTATTTGTTATTTTGTGCCAAATGACGTCTTCTGAAATTTCCCTTACATAAAATAAGAGTTTTACTTTAAAATCTAAAGTTTTCTTTTGACAATTGAAAATGTTTCAGAAGAATTACAAATTTTAGAATTACAAGGGATGTTAGAGTTTAGCCCTGCTCCCTCAAGACTTACAAACCAAAATATGGTAGGCATAGTTTTCCACGGGTATTTGGCCTTTACCTTTTCCCTTTGAAAAATTACATTAAACTTTTCATACACTTGAATTGATGAGCTATCTGATATAAAAATGAGAAAACGAATATGCGTAAATTTAACCTTAGTGTTTATAAAGTTCTTATACACCCTTGTTAAAGCCTTTAAGGAAATATGGCATGTTGACGTTTGTTTGTTAGGGATTTTTTAAAAGCAGAGCTGAGCACACACTGGATACATTTGAATGTGTTTATTTAGTTTGTTGTAAAATTGTTATATTTGGCAGGCAGATCCAGAATCACTAGTAAACTGTCATCTTATTTGCATTGGCTTAAATTTAATTGAACATTCAAATTCCATTGATTGGCTGGTATGAAAAGATGCCAATGCTCATAACCACAGTACCAGAAAATTTAAAAGTGATAAAAAGCTGCAGTTCACACATTAGGAACTGCTATTTACTTATAAACCACCTGCAAGAAAGTCAGGAACAATGAGATTCGCAGTAACTGTCCTAACAACTTTTATTTATATAAAGATTTCCATTCTGTTTTACCAATTGGGAACACCTTAATGTTTAATATTTAAACTATTGGTATCATTTTTCTAATGTATAATTTGTATTACCAGTATAAAATACACAGTGGCTATGCTAGTGTTATAAGTAAAGTTGGAAATGCCACTTTCATATTTTGAGATGTCATGGATTTAATAAGTAGTTATTTATGTTTTAAAAATTCAGAGTAGTTAACCTCTGATCTAAAACCATTGATATACATTTTTTATAATAATTAACTTACAAATGTTTCAGTACTGTAAATTGTTTGAAAAGGTTGCTGTAGGTAAACTACATTTCAACGCTAAGATCTTGGCCAAATAATTTACAATTCACAGAATATTTAAGGAGGTGCTTTTTTTGTTTAAAACTTGATTTTTCTTAATTAAGACTTTATTCATGCCAAAGTTAATGAGGAAAAAAGCTCAAAACTAGTTGGGAATCATTATAGAAAAAACTACCAGTAGTCTACATTGTTTCATTTAATATTAAATTGAATAAAGTAAATTTTATTACAGTCAGAGCCTAAATCACATTTTTTATGTCTGCATGTTTGATACTATTTTTAAATAGTATCATGCTAGTGCCAACATTTACTAAATATCTTAAAATTGGCCCGTTGGACCTATGCAAATTAAAATGATCAATTCAGTGCATAAGCAAAATATAATAATTGAAATCTCTTCGGTTGAAAAATAAATCTTGATGTTTTAAATTCTTAAGAGGATTCAATAGTTAATATTGATGACTTCCTATTAAAAACTTGATCTGCAGTTGGAGAGGCCTATGGCCTCTACTTTCAAAGTAAATTGTTGTATCTGGGCCCTAGAGTATGGAGAAAGTTATATGTGTGATCTTAATTAAGAAAAACCTGATTGAATCAACTAATCATCTCATCAGTGTAAATAATTTTTCATATTTTCAAATAAAAACTTTCCTTCATTCCTGGTCCCTTTAAAACCAACATCTTTTGCTAAAAAAGTAAACTGGCTTGTATTGTTTTGTAAAGTCTTATACATAACAAAAATATTTTTGTTTATTCTGCTTTCATGAATGAAGATTATTGACATGGTTAATTCTTGAATTTTGATTTTTTTTTTAATTGGAAGAAAACCTTTGCTATTTTTATTTTTTTCCAAAATGGTCTGGCATTTTAAGAATTAATGCTAGTAACATCATGCTAGTAACATCACTTCTAAATTTACCATAATTGGCATGTTAATAATAGTGTATCAATAAATATTTTAAGACTGTGGACTCACAGACAATGAGGGGGAAACGATAGTAAAATATATGTGGAAATTCCTGGTTTATTTAGGAAGCACTTCAGTTGTCTCTTTCATAGTTGAAAGGTGAATGTTTCCAGGAATTTTTATGCTTGTTTTTTTTTTTGAAAGAGGAAAATGTACATTTGAATGTGATTAATTTCTACAACACTGGAAAAACTTAAAAAATTACTGTTCTGTGTAAGTAACCTATTTGAAATTCAAGTACAAAAAACGTCTGAAATAAAAAGCATTGTCTTTTGGCCATGACACAAGTGCACTGTGACAGTGCCATTTGCTCAGGATTCAACTCTGCAGCCCTTCTGTGTGTGCCCCCCTGAGTTCTTTTGCCGTTATTACACACATGGGCCTTGCTGTCTGATCCTCAGAAAAGCCGGGCTTCCAAAGCACTGTTGAACACTGAGGATTCTATTGTTGATACGGATGTCCAATGTATTTTAAATATCAAAGATTATTAAATAAAGATAATGTTTGCTTTTTTATTTTTGTTTTTATGTGTTTATTGTTAATTCCTAGCCTTGCCATTTAAAGCTTGGTTGGAGAACCAGCAGCATTTGCGCCCCCTGAGAACTTCTCAGAAAAGCAGAGTTTCGGGCCACACTGACCTGAATGAGAACCTGTGATTTTAACAAGATTCACGTGCAGAGTGAAGGTGGAGAATCATTGTTTTTATGGACTGTGGTGATGAATAAAGCAGGTCAGGAGGGCCCACTGATAATCTGTTCCAGCTAACTGCTGCCAAAGGGGCAATTATTACCAGATCCTCTCATCTTTTATTCTAAGAGAAGCTAAGAATCCCACATTTTTATTTGAAATTCATTTTTAAATGTTGGCTCAATTATTTTTGAACCCTAAGGGCCAAACCACATTAGTAATAATTTTTTTTTTTTTTAGTTAGGGAACTGTGTTTTTTTCCAGGACCCATCAGCTCCAAGTCAAGTAGTTGTTTCAATCTTTTGGGTTGTCGGAAAAGTCATGACGCAGTTTTGCAACAAAAAAAATACGTCACGACTTTTCCGACAGTCCAATAGTTGTGGAGAGCGCAACTCAGTGGCCCACGTGAGGATCAAACCAGCAAACTTGGTGTTATGAGTGCTGCACTCTAAGTGAGCTAACTGGCCAGCCCACATTGGTACTACTTTAAGAGTGCTGGGTTTTCCTCATTTTATCCAACTTGACACCAGAATCCAACTGTAATTGGAATGCACCTGGACTGATTGATGATTATGGAAACCTCAAATTTTAGAACGAGGGTTGTATATCCATTTTAGCCGTCATTAGGGCTGGGCACAAACTGAAACGAAATTTTCAAATTGATTACATATATTTTAGTGTGATGTCACAGCTTGGTGCTTAGAAGGACCAATTCATTGAATTTGGATGCCACCAAATGACTGACCTCATCAGCAGTCATCTGTGGGCCCTTATGAAATATAAATCGATTTAAAAGCCTATTTTATGTTTGCTAAAAACTTTATAAAAGGGAATTTGGGGGTTGTCCTTACCCTGAAGACTGCATGTTTTAGGACCCTTTAAATCATTCTGTATCTGCATCACCAAATGCGCAAAGTTCATTTTATAGGTAATTTGGGTCCAGCTGACCTCTTCAGCCGTACTCTTGCCGTTTCTGCTTTCACACTGTGGTCCTAGCAGGTCTCCTTACAGGTCTTCATATAAAGCAGGCTCTTCCCTCCTCCAGGCACTCGAACACTCTCCTTGCCTCCCTTCCTTTGCCCTTTTGAGATCCTTGCCCCCACAGTTCATTGGCCATCCCTGCTTTAAGGACTCTTTCAGCTGGACTACCACCATTTACTGCGCCCCGTTCTCCCAAGATTGTTCCAGCCTTCCTTTCTCAGGAACCCCAGCCACCCTTTGTCTGCCTCATGGGCTGCTAGAAACAATTCCTATGTTATGCATTTACTCATTCAAAACATTCGAGCACTTGCCATGTGCCAGGCAGGGTTCTGGGAGCTTGGAAACAGAGCCATGAATGAGTCTGCTCTCATGGGGCTTGCTAGGCAGAGGAAACATTTAAGTTAACCAATGACTTCATAAAATGTTAAGAACTATGCTTGTTCTGTGAGAGAGGAAGACAAAACAGGATGAGGTGATAGAATGTGACTGGAAGGGAGGGCTGCTTCAGATGGTTCAAGAAAGGCCTCTGCAGAGGTGACATTCAAACAGACACCTGAAAAGTGAGGAGGCAGCCATGCAAAGGTGTGGTGCCACTATACCTGCCTGTGGAAACAGCAAGGGTGATGCCTCTGAGATGGGGGCGGTGGCTGCTTGTTTCTGGGGAACAGAGAAGGCTGAAGAAAGAGGTCAGCTGGTAGTGAACAAAAGATGAGATGTAGGCAAAATTATGTAAGGTTTTATAAATAAATTATGGACTGTATTTTATATTTACACCAAGCACTCTGGCTCCACTTTTTAGACTATTCTGAAGACTTTTTTTTAATCTTTTAAAAGGCCCATTAACTACATCTTCTACCAAAGAGCATGCCAATGCCTGCCTTAAGCAACCCCCGAAAACTGGCTGAATGTTTAATACTAAAAATATTGTTGAACCTACCTAAGATGAGAATTTAGTTAAGGCTACCCACTTGTGCATTTTGTTTTTCTTCCTGTTAAATCTGCAATTATTTGCATCACTATCAGAAAACTGTAGTTCACTTTTGAAACTTTAGTATCATATTTTGGTTGTTAATCTATATCAACTGTAGTGATCAATATCGAGTCACTACCGTTATAGCCCTTTTTGTCTTTCTCAGCCACTGTTAGTCCAGGACATCATTATACCACATAGCAGCACGTGCAATAACATCTTAGCTGTTACCCAAAGCTGTTTAGCCCACACTCCAATTACTTTTAAGCAAAGCTTCATTACTGTCAATGTTATTACAGGGAGTAAGTAGTGTGTGTAAATATTGGAAAGGGTGATGCCAAATTATTATTTGCTGAAATGATTGTATGACTAGAAACCCAAGGAAATTAACTGAAACGCTCCTGAACTAATAAGGGAGGTCAGTAAGTCAACCAGATACATAATAAATACACAAAAACCAATAGCTTTTTTTTGTATACCAGCAAAAACCTGTTAGAAAATAAGATGGAAAAATATCAAGAATGTCTAATCCTTGGAGTGCCAAGGAGGTACTAGGTTCCAAGATAAGGAGAGTGGAATGGCACTATTATTCTTCCCCATTTTACAAATAAGAAACTGATACACAGAGAGGTTAAGGAGCCTACCCAAGGTAACAGCTAGTAAGTGAAAGATCCAGGCAGTCAGGCCCCAGAGACTGCACATCTAAGCCCTGGGCAATGATGTCTTTCAAGCAAAAACATGAAAAACATTTAAAAAACACTTCCAGACAAGATGCAAACTTTATTTTAAAATCATTCAGATTTCAGGGAGAACGCCCATCGCCTGGTATCCTCAGATTCCAACTACCAGAGGCATTTTCAAATGTTCCCTTCACAGAGTGCAATCTGTAGTAGATCCTCCAGTGAATAAAATCAAAGAGAAAGATGTCAGTGTACTCAGTGCTGTGCTTAAAAGACCTGCAGACCTATCCTATTGTGATCAAAGCAAAAACCAAAACCAAAACCAAAAACAATGTGGTAGTCTCTCTGGCCAGGTAATGTGTGTTCCCAGTACCACGCCACCAAGTTTTGTTAGGTACGTGATTTTTCTCCCCTTCAACAAAGGCGGGATTCCGCTTGGCGGTTTGGGCACAAATTTGTTTAACAGGACTGTGGGAGGTGCCACCAATACCACTGGAGAGTTTACATTATTAGCACAGCATTTCTCCTATTTAAAGTTGTGCTGTCCTCTAATGCGTTATTTGGGAAAAAAAAGGCGGTCGGTGTTTTTAATTCATGAGTTCTGTCGGCTTCATGAATAAAGAAACCTCTTCGTACATTAAGGAAGAAGGCAGGGTTTCAACTGTGAGCTGGAAAGCCACCGGAGAACATTTCTACCATAGAAGTTAATCCATGTAAGCGTGTTTCTTGCCTGGGCACTTGAATTTGCCACCCATCCTTTTTGCGTATCCGCAGCTCCTACCGTAGAGCCGGGCGCAGAGCAGCCTTTGAGAAGTTGACCAATAATCGATACAGTAACGTGTGATAAGTGACGCAAAGCCGCTTCCTGAGCCGAGGAGAGACCCCGCCAAGTCTCCTCGCACCGCTGCTTTAACCGGCGTTGTCAAAATTAAAGTATTCAGGTTTCACCAACACAGTGAGAGCCCACGAGGTTCTCGCGGGTGCACTCACTGAGGACTGGCTCCGCAGAAACACAACCGCTGCCGGCAGAGCGCCGCGTCGCCGCGAGTTCTTGCGGCCATTCCCCTCGCTGCCAAAGCGGGAGAGGGTTACGTGGAAGCCGACTTTACCCTTAGCTGGAGGCAGCGGCCCCAACCGACCGCACTCGGTCCTCCGCGATCCCACGCTCCCTTGCGCCAAGGACACGTCCGTCAGCTCCGCAGGGCCCTTCTACGCCACCGTGGCGCCTCTCTATGATCCGTTGCCGCGTTCGGAATGGGTGTCATGGCGGCGGGCGTCGAGTTGGCAGGAGTTGCCTGCAGAACTGGGGCAAGTCACTAAAGCAGAGGAAGAAGTGGCTTAACCAAGAAGTGGCTCAGCCCGGATGGTTGGAAATCGTGGGAAAATGAGCAGAGGCCCCTTGGGAGTGACTGTGTGACAGGAGGCGGGCCCCTGGTCAAGTCTCAGGCCAGGCCTCTGCGTTTCCAGGCAGAGCCAGGCGGTTGCTGGAACCTCCGGAAGCCCGCGTCACTTAGGAACTCCTCATTGTGCTATAGAATTCTTGAGTGACGAATCCCGCGAGGGCTGCGGGTCGAGGACACTTGGCGGGGGTCTTTCGGCGACGCTGGACGCTTTTCTCGGAGCGGACCAGGTTGTTCTCTAACCCGCAGCGATGTCGTCCTGGCTTGGGGGCCTCGGCTCCGGCTTGGGCCAGTCTTTGGGTCAAGTCGGGGGCAGCCTGGCTTCCCTCACTGGCCAAATTTCAAACTTTACAAAGGATATGCTGATGGAGGGCACGGAGGAAGTGGAAGGTAACAGCTGGTGCGATGGGAGGGAGGGCTTTTCTGGGACCCTGGGAGCGTCCGTTTGGTCCCCACTTCCATCCGTCAGGAGACGTGGACAGGTCGCAGAGGAGTGTCACTCCGCCCTTTTTTCTTGACACTCCTTTTGCTTCTTAACTGAGATTCATGGTGAAAGACTACTGAGGTCCGGGGGAAGGCTTCTGGGTCTCCTCCCTTTACATGCTCCGGGGATCTGAGCGGAGTGAAACTGCTTCTCCGTTGAGTCGAGTTTATTTTTGTTTGGTTCATCCACGCCCACCGCTTACTGAGTCTTTAGCTTGAGGGCGGAGCTGATTACGACCCCTCTTCCTTTACACTGACTGACACCGTTGAAAAAAAGGAATCGTGTAGGACACATAGTCACTTTTTTTGGTTTCTTTGATTTTTGTGGCAGTTGGAGTAACTCCTAATTATTTAAGGAGTCTTACCCATTCTGACTTGAATATGTTAGTGAAGCATGGCTATGTGTTTCCTATTATTTTATGTTTTTGTTTATTCTGGTGACACAGCGTTCCAGCTGAAAATGTATTTTTGTGCCCAATTGCCCATTCTCCCCATATTTCGACAGAACTAGGAAGATACCCTATTCGTTGGTTACCTTAGCAACCTTCACTCCTTTTTTAAGTCCGCGTTTTGTTTTGCTAATGGGTAGTGACCCAGAATTACATGGTAATCGCTGGTTAATTACTATTTTGATTTCTTGATACTTCTTTCAGCAAATAGTATTCAGATCAAAGGAGCTCTTTAATCTCAATCTAGGTCCGCTCTGCATCCAGAGAGTTAATGGATTGTTCTTTTGGACGAGAGCAGTTCCTTTGACAGTTTATTTCCTACACATTAACAAATTAGCATTCTGGTTTAATTTTTAAAAATCCTGATTCAACTGAGCCTTCATGTTTATTTGGTTGAAATATAGTTTAATAAAAAAGTATGTGTAGAGTTTTTTGGGGGTCCTTTTAGAGGGGAGGAAAATTGAGGAGCTGCCAACAATCTATTTTACTGCTTGGGGTACCCCTTGGGGAGGCGGTACATCAGGTGGGGCAAGTTGGGGATGGGAGTGAAAGGGATTCTTCCTGTCTGTGTTCAAGAAAGGGTCATGTGACCTTGAGGGCAGCCAGAAGCAGAGAAGGTTTGGATAACTTGGGAAGGGACTAGTCTCTCCTTGTGTCCTACATAGCGGAAAACAGTTGGCAATTCCTTTGACCCTAACTGCATTCCCCCAGCCTGAATGATCTGCAGGCTTAAAATGGAATTCATTATATTCTTCCCACCAAATGTACTCCTGTAGTCTCAATCTTAATGGTTTCACCATTTACCCAGTCTCTTCAAGTATAAGTCTTTGTCGACTTTGTCTTGTCTCTTTTTCATTCCTACTTCCAATTGGTCACCAAATCGTGTACATCCTGTGCCAGAATTGTTTCTTAATTTGTCCTTTTAATAAAGGTATTAATCCTATTTCTTTAGTTCAGATCCCCATTATCTTGCCCATTTTTCTTTCACACCTTGTCACCCATTTCTCCCTACTTCGTTCTGTTTTCTGTTGTGTTGCCAGTTACTTTTCTAAAAACAAATGTGCTTTAAAATCTCTTGACTCTATTACTTTAAGGGATAAAATCTAAACCTCTTAGCATTGGGAGACCAGAAACCTAATCTGTCTGTCCCTCTCTTGATCTTTTCCAGTCTTACCTCCTGATTCCTGCCCTTCTCTTCTAATTGCCATACACAGTCCCACTGACATCCCATGCATGTTTGCCCCCAGAGCTCCTGTCACACGGAACTTTGTCAGGTACCTGTACAACTTACGGCCTCTGCATGGAAAGCCCTTCCTTTTCAACTTCCTCTTCTACCCTCCTTTGCCTAGAGAACTATTTTCCAGCAAGACTCTGCTCACATGTCAGGTACTTGGTGAAACCATTCTCACTCCATGGCAGGTTGAGTTGATCACAGGTGGTCTGTGTTCTAACAGAACTTTGTGACTATCTCTCTGACAGCACTTACCACGTTGAGCTAGTTTTTCTCATTCATTGATGCCCAGGGTAGGGACTGTATTTTATTTATCCTTATATTACCAGTATGTGGCGTTTTCCTTGGTACATAGTAGATACTCAGTAAAAAATTTGCTGAGTGATTAAAATTCTACAAAGTTGCTTAATGATTTTCCTCCTTTGTATTAAAATAGGACTTGCTTAGCAACACCTGATTTATTGGTTTTGTAAATCACTTAAAAATAGGGTCAGAGTACAGTTCATTTATTCAGTCAACAAGTATTATATTGAGTGTCTGCCCTGTGACAGCAGTAAACAATAGTTCTTAAATAGCACTGTTGGTAGAGCTTGAAAATCATCCATATTTACAATATCAGAAAGTTGCTATTCTGCCGTATACATTCAAGGTTAGGACCTTGGGCTTTTAAATCGGACATGGATTTAAATTCCACTTCCATGCATTACAAATTGTGGGATCTTTGGCAAATTATTAAATACTTTAAAGTAGAGTTTCCTTATCTGTTAAATAGGGATAATCATACCTATCCTGCGATTGGGAGGATTAAATGAAATCATAAGTGTGAAATGCCTAGCACCCTGCCTAGTGAATAGTAAGCACCAATAAACAGTAGCTGTTATTTTTATTTACCCTTATTGAGGAAGAATTTGATGTAACATCTCCCCTTTATTCTTAAAAAGGCCAGGATTTTTTGGGGGGAGGGGTGAGAGAGGGAGGTCTGCATTAACTGTTTGTTTTTATAATCCCTCTTTGAAACAATTGCTGCTTCTACAGTTGTCTTCCTAAACAGATTAGATTATAATTTGTTCTCTTGTGAGTAGCAGTTAGTCCTGTCAAAGTTTCAAGCAAGATGTATAAACAATCACAGAAGCAACCCCACCTGGTGGTTTTTAAAACAGTGGATTTGGCACTGTTATTTATTGGATGCCACTTGTATTTTCTTTTGATTTAAACTGTAATTTAGAGAAGTTATTTTTACAATATTAAAGTGCTATGAGTAATGAAAAATACTAGTACTTAGAAAAAAATATCTAACTCTGGGTGATGATTTTCTGGCAATATCAGCGGTGCCACTTTTGCACTTCTGGCCTCAGTCTCCTTTTGAATGAGAATGTACAAAAGTAGACCGACCTATTCCCATTTTAAATAAATTGTGTCTGTTTACTTGAAATAAGTGTTCTTTCAGTGTATTTTCAGTCTTTGTTCATAGATCATTATTGATAGTATTGGGAGCAGAAGAAGTTAGAAATAAGGCCTTACACCTCAGTTGCATAAATTTCATCTAAAATTATACTAAGCCAAAAAAAGAGATTTAATTTGTAAAACTTAATTTCCCATAACAAAATTTTAATGAATGCATCCAAGGGGTAAAAGACATCCTGGGATGTAGAAGATGGGCAAAAAGAATGACTAATGTGACAATAAAGACATTTGTGACAGTAGGAAATTGTGATAAAAATCATGTGATATTTGTCTTCTGAATTTGTTCTCAGATTAGCATACCATTCCATTTAAAGCTCAGTGAAATATATTTTGTTTAAAATGCCTGTTTATTCATTTATATGGTATTGATAAAGTAATCAGTATGTGCTGTTTCTTTCATAGCAGAATTACCTAATTCTAGGAGAAAGGAAATTGAAGCCATTCATGCAATCTTAAGATCAGAGGTAAGGAAAATTGAAGACTACTATTGAACTTAGAATTTTCTATTTCGAAACCATGACAGTTATTCATATTTTATTTTGGTCCTCTCTTTTTAATGCACTGTTTACCACTTAAGTTTTTTGTTTTTTTGTTTTTTTTTAAGCAGTATCTTCTACTTTAGATAAAGAATATGTTTTCATGGTACTACACTTTGATATTTAATATTTCCATCTCTGCTTCTATATGCTGGAGGTAGGAAAACTGCCAAATGTAGAAATAATGGTGGCAACAATATATCATTACCAAGGATATACTATGTTTTAACAATGTGCTAAATTGCAGTAATACATTTATTTAAGTATAATGTGAAGAATGCAATTCTGTTTAATCCAGAGCATTTTAATCCCCTAACATTAAAAAAGTATATATTTGTATACAAAGAAATTAAGCATATAAGAATAGAAAATTAATTTTATCATGTTTTTCACTATTAGAGCCTCGTGCTGACTGGCTCTACATTGTACTTAATAGGGATGAGGGAAACTTGGAGAGGGTTCAGAGGAAAGCCATAAAAGAAAATGAAAAGATTTATTAGGATCTAGTGTAAAATACTAGACACTCAACTAGTTAGCCTTTGGATAAGAGCAGTGAGGGAACACTTAATAGTATTTCAGCAAAAGATATCCTTAGAGGACTGTGGTAAGTATGTTTTCCTCTCTGGTAAGCCCATAAAAAGAGAAAATTGAATTTAAATATAAGAAGCTGTTTACCCTCAACTAGCATTTTAGAATTCTGGTCTAGATTACCAAGGAAAGATTGTGTGATTTGAAAGCAGAGAGACCTGTCAAGAGGAACTACTGTAGTATTTTGCCTCAATAGAAGACGGCACCGTTGTGGCGCTTAAGAGACCTTAGCTGAATTACCTAATAAGTAGGTGCTTTAGTGACAGATGAACTTAATAGCTTTTTGGTTTGTAAGCCTGAGATAGGAAATTGTTCCTGTAGTCCCTAAAGAAATCTTTAAGAAAGCACTCGTTAGTACTGGCCCCCTGAGAAAAATGAAATGGCAAAGATGTATGTAGTGGCATTATTTTAGGTAAGTTGTCCAGTGCACATTTGGGGGAAAAAAGTAAATAGGGTTAACCAGCTTAATGGGTGTCTGCTCTGTGTTGAGCTTGAGAAGAGAGAGAGAGAAATCTTGTCCCTCGGTTGATCTCAGTTCTAATCTCTCCTAGTGTTACCATTGGACTGGATGGCAAGTATGAGCCCAGTGTTTAGAAATATGTGTTTGTAGTATAACTCATCCCCCAGTGAAAGCCAGCTTCCTCATCTGGTGTTCATTCAAAGTAGTGTGAGCTACTCAAAGTACTCAAGTACTAGAGGAAAACAGACTGTTGGACTTCCCAAGGGTTTTTTTTCTAAGATGATTTTGACTGTACACAATTCTTACCTTATGTGAGCACATAAGCATTTTATACCCTAACCTCTGTGTGACTGCAATAGGAGAACAGGTGAAGATGTGACTGAAGCCATCGGGAGACTTACAATATAAAATCCTATTGAAAGTTTTGGTATAGACAGAGGGCAGTGTGTTTTCCAGAAGAAATTAGATTTGCTTACAGATGCTAATATTTGAAGTTGACTAAGTTAGTTAGGTTTCTTCAGTGGCAGGTAACTGCAACCAACCTACTAAGCTAATTGAACCCTCTATGCCAAGTAAAATAGTCATCACATTTACCATCTGGAGCTAATGGACTCTTAATTTTTTTTATATAAAATCATTTTACAGATAATTTACAAAAGTAAGAATAATGTAATAGTGAAAAACTTTATTAGAAATTTTAATAACTTATATAACAAATCCAAACTTTTATTCCATATGTTTCTGGTTTTGAAAGTATATACCCAAAGTAAGCAATGTTCTTTGAATGCAATTAACTGTTTATTAACTCTTATGCATGAACTGGGATGTATCTTACCTTATAAATACTCATTCCAGATTCACTTACATCTCTAATTGATTTTAACTTATTATTACTTCTGTTTTGAGCTTATCGTTACTTCTAGTTCTTTTTCTCTTTTTTTGGAATTGAACCAGCGATCCTGTTGCTCAGAGCTTATGCTCTTTTTTTTTAAAAGATTTTATTGGGGAAGGGGAACAGACAAATTGCTGTCCTTTTGTTCTTCAGTCTAGTTGTGGAGGACGTCGCTTCACTGGCCCATGTTGGTATTATCATTGTGTTCTTCTGGGGTGAGGCAGTCGCTCGCAGGCAATTGGACAGCTCATGGCAGCTCACGCCGGCTGCCGGCTGCCAGCTGCCAGCCCCACTGCAGCCTACGCTGTCGCCGGCAACTCATGGCAGCCCAGCTCCAGGTCAAGCTGTTGTTCAGCATTTTAGCTGTAGAGGGCGCAGCATCAGTGGCCCATGTGGGATCTGAACTGGGGTCCTGCTGCTCAGAGCTGGCGTCCCAAGCCAACTCTTAACCAATGCGCCACTCGGCCAGTCCACTTCTGTTTTTTTTTCTTGACTTGTATCATTAAAACCAATACTTTTGAAAACTTTGATGGCTCATGACTTTGTCATGAGAGAGAATGGCTGTCGTCTTTGCTCCATAATTACAAAGCATTTTTATTCTTGGAATTATAAATACCAATTAAAATGATCAATCCACTGAATTTTTTCATTTTTATTTCTGTTTCTTCCCCATCACCTTTGTATGTACATCTGCTTTCAGCGTTTGTTCATGCATGAACTATGTTAAGTAAATTTTCAATGAATAATGATCAAATTCTTAGGATGGTAAAATAGCAAAATGTTCCAAGTTACAAAAAACACAAGATCATTACAATCCAATGATTATTCTTAGGCTTATAAAGGGTCCAATGTACCCTTATGGTAATTGCAAGATAGAATGAGTTTTATTCTGTTTAAAAAATAAGTAAATTTCCTCTTTGTTGGAAGACCTCTAAGAAAGAAGAAGAATCATAAATATCAGTCCTTATCGATAGGACTACTCAAAAGAGAAACTCATGAGCTAAATAAAATTGGTTGCAGTAGACCTTGATGTATAACAAGAGTTAAGCAGGATGGGATAAGGTAAGGATATGAGGTCTTGTGGATTCCAAGGGCAGAAATTGTAGCCAGTCTTTAGGAAGGGGCTATAACCTGAGCTGGAGACCATCAGAAATCTTTCTTATTTTTGCTCCTCTCTCTTTGTGTGTGTTTATTTTTTTCTTCCTTCAGACCAGCCCTCTCTGCTCCATATAGCATATAATAGGAAATGGCCACTGACAACTCCTGGTAAATTGTGGGTCAGCCACATGAAAAGAATTTGTCTTTCATGTGCTTTATCAACCTTTCTGACTCATGGCTAGGAAGGTGAGGAGAGACAACTAGTTCGGTATTGGCCAAATTGAAAGTTTTTGAGTTCTAGTTATTAATTAGTTAAATAGCCTTAGGTATTTTTATGTGAAAAAGCCGAGAGTGGACTTCTATAAATAGGTTTTGACTTCACTATATTGTGTTGCTTCAATTATGTATGGTATTTTTCATGTTAACAGCTCACAGAAAATCATGCAAAAGTAGCCAATGGAAGGTAATTAGTTGTGTGACCATTGTTCTGTTTCTGATTAGCATTTCTTCACAATAACCAAGATCTTTGTTAAATTTCTGGAGATAGACTGCCAAACTATGATTTATGTATGTTGTGATTTTTTTCTTTTAATTTACTCCATTGATTTTCTCTGGAAATTCATACCATCTCCCTGGATCATAATTTTCACATTTGTCGATGTAAGAAATTCTTAGAATTTAAGAAGAAAACAGATGACATTCTCAAAGTGAGAAAATTTTCACCTTCTAGCAGGAGCTTGCTTTCTCACCATCAGCCTCCTTATTTTCAGTTATCATTGTTAAGCTGTTTGCAGATATATTAGTAGAACTCTTAATAAAATATTATCTGTAATAATTTGTAAATTCCTTGTTGCAGGTTTAGTGTCTATTTCTCTTATTCCATTTTGTCCTTATTCATTCAAATGTCAAGGAATGATAGGTTAAGATAATTTGCTATTCATATACATAAAATTTAAGTAATTTTTTCATATATGCCAATATCTTAAAAAGACTGTGATATCTAAATTCATTGAGTTATGCTTAGAATATTTTGTCTACTTCCAACTGTAGTTTTTTTGGGGTTTTTTTTTTAAAGACTTTTATTGGGGAATTGGGGGAAGGGGAACAGACAAGTTGCTGTCCTTTTGTTCTTCAGTCTAGTTGTGGAAGACGTCGCTTCACTGGCCCAAGTTGGCACCATCATTGCTCTCTTCCCAGGCGAGGCACATCAGTCGCCGGCTTTTGGACGGCCGCTCACGGCGGCTGCTGGCCGCTCACGCTGGCTGCTGGCTACACACAGTAGCCCATGGCAACCCACTGCCACAGGGGCTGCAGCCTACGCCGTCGCCAGCGACTTCCAGCAGCCCAGCTCCAGGTCGAGCTGTTGTTCAGCATCTCAGCTGCGGAGGGCAGTGTCACTGGCCCTCATATGTGGGATCCGAACCGGGGCCCTCTGGTGTCTCAAGCCAGTTCTTAACCATCACGCCACTCGGCCGGCCCCCAACTGTATATTTTAAAACCGAGTGGTTTTCAAATTGGATTTCTTAGAGTTACCTCAGCAGCCTTGAGTTCAGGTAGACAAGTAATGAGGGGCTTTGGCCTCCTACCTGTACTTCAGCCAGAAGTCTTTTTTAAAAAGATTTATTTTAAAAAGTTCTTTTTGAGGAGAAAACAAAAGTTCAAACATGCAATGTGGTCCATTCATTTGCCAGACATTTATTGCCTACTATGTACTAGACACTGGGTGTTCAAAGATGGGGGAAACATTGATCAGTGGCTTTTTCTTAGCAGAAAATCAAACTGAGCCAAGATTTTTTTTTTCCGTTGGTTCAGAATTATGCATGATCTCTATAAACATGCTTATCACACTTGTAACTTTAATTGAAAGTATTTTAAAGGCCAGAATTCTGTTATACCTGTATTTTATATCTTTTTTTGTATGAAGCACTGTTTTCCATAATGCCATGCATGTAACTGTTACTAACATGTTTTACTGTTTAGTCTTTTTGTTGAAAACACTTTTTTCTTTGTTTCTAGAATGAGAGACTTAAAAAAGTTTGTACTGATCTGGAAGAGAAGCATGAAGCTTCAGAGCTTCAAATAAAGCAGCTATCTACAAGTTATCGAAATCAGCTGCAACAAAAAGAGGTAAAGGTTATGACAGTCACTTCATAGTTATTTCACTGTAAGGTATTTAGGAAGTGTTTACGAGTTTCAATATAAATCAAACTATATTTAGATCCATAAAAATATTGAAAGGGTGTTGAAGTTAATAATTCCCAACTCAGTTTGATGTCACTAACAAGAACTCTGTAAGCTTTTTTATTACATTTATATTAAATTAACATTTGTGTAGTTTAATTTCTGCTTTGTAAAACAAGAAAAGTCTTTGTATAAAATATCTTTAGGCATCTGTCACTTATAATTTCTGATTTTATGAAACTTAATTTCTCATCTTTTTACCTAAAATTGTTTTAAATCATTGTGATTATTGCTAATGACATTTCTTTTTTAAAAAATGATTTTAACTACAAGTATAATACATGCTGTATTGGCGTTTACTTGGTTTTCCATTGCAAAACAGAAATTAAGTATTTTATACTGTTCTATAAATTTTCCCCCTTTAGTTTGAAACAAATAGTTATTTTGGAATTGGCTTATCTTTTCTTTGCAGTGTTGGTATTGGAGATTATGTAATTTAACCAATGTTACCATGAATCCTTAAAGTACAGAGTATGTCTCCATGTTTCATTCTGATGTTAAATTCTCTTTAGTGTTCAATACATAACTGGAATTCAGTAAATACTTTTAATTGAACATTTCTTGTTTTATTATCCAGATCAATTGGTTGTTCTTCATTTTATTAATGTAATCATTTCTACCCTAAGTTCATATTTGGGTTTTTAAATTTAGGTGCACTGATTTCTAGTTCCTTTCGTGACATACTAAGATGCAAAATTAAACCATGTTGACTATAAATGTAAACATTTAAAGAAGAGCTTAAATTTCCAATCTGTTGGGAATTGATTTCATAAAATAGAATAAAAATGAACACTACAAAAATAAAATGAATATAAAAAAACCAAAATTACAAGTTCAAATCAAAGTTAAAAGCCCACTTTTTTTTTAAGACTCAACAGACAAAAAATTACTCTGTCAAATTGTTTTAAAAGTTTTTAGTCTTATTCTTTCAGTTTCTTACTGGTGAAAGACATTCATGGCATCAGTCCATTGATCACACACTGAGCAGCACTGTCTTAGAGACACATTACAATATAGCAGTAGATCCCACCCAGGGGTTTTCAGCTGAATCATAGTGACGCTTTAAAAACATGCACACGCATACGCACGCACACATGCACACGTGCACACGCTTCCATCTCTGCAAGGATTCTGATTTAGTGCACCGGGAAGGGGCCCGGGGATTAGTATTTTTCAAAAACTCCAGAGGTGATTCTGACACTTTCATCTGAGTTGAAGACACTGCTGTAGAAAACTTTGGCTTCTATTTTCTACCTAACTATCAGATAGCAAAGTAAGCGTTCAAGTTTAGAAATGCCTTTCTGTTATTAGAATTTGCACTTCTAAACTCTTCAACTTTTTATCAATGTCTATTGTATAATGAGAACTTTCTTTGTATTATAGCTACATTTGAAAAAAATGGTGGATTTCAGTACTTTTTACTAGAATGAAAGATAATATAGGAATATACTTTAGCAGAATCTTTAGATCTGCTGTTTCTGAATCTATTTGCTGCCCTCATTGTGATGTTCGCATTCCCTAAAGATGCAGTTTGTCTCATATCATTTATGGGAAAATGAATGTAATTTGTGCACTGCTGTGAATGTCTGTTAGAGAAGGGGCTCTGCAATGAAAAATCTGTTTGTTACAACATTTGACCTACTCATAGTTATGTTTCATTTGGTTGTTCGACATTAGAAGTGTAGAAATACCATTACTTGCTGGCTGTCACATCCGTATTAAATTTTCCTCAGTTGTAACAGGGTGTCTCCTGGACTAGCTTGAGTGTTTTACATACAAAAAGCCTATTTCAGTTCTGTCTAACTTCCTCACCTTTATGTTTTGAGTAATCTTAGAATGGATGTGGCATTCTAGTCAAGTCCTGTGTTTGTCACTTCTTTTGGACCATGGCTTGGTATTGCCAGCTTTCCGTCAAAACTGCTCAGGGTTTCAGAATTTTTATACCGTTCTCCCCCTGAGTAGAGTCAGATTTTCACTGGCCCCTTTGCCAAGGCTAAAGCCAAGGTCTCTTTCAATGCTTGATTTCCTTCTAAGACTCACGGGCTAATAACCACAGGCTCACCATGTTATCTCATCTGAGAAGATTGAATTAATAACTCCAAGCATTCTTCCAGCTGTGTTGTACAGATCAGTACAAAGTTAACTCCTGATTCATGGTGCATTTTAAGCCAAATCCAGCCATAAACATTTACATAAGACCTCTTCCAACAGATGTTCTAAGGAAACTTTCCCGTGCATAGACTGATACAGCTTTCACTTTTTCATCTTTTGAGGTTTGATAATCACAAACAGAACCCTAAGAAATCGCCTGTCTGGTACATAGAAGATGGTAAACCCATGTTTAATTCAGAAATGCATTACTTTAGTTACCATAGGACTGAAATTCATACTATTCTAAACATTATCTGTGCTTTAACTATGGCAATTATGTCTGCTTTTAAATAAAAAATGTTATGATTGGGATGTTACAGAAGACTTGGATTCAGCTGATAGAGTACCATTGTTGGATAATCTGAAACAGATTATTAGGACTTTTAACATTATGAATCTATAATATGGTTATTTGAAAGCACTTTTTCTAAAGTATGGATTATAAATATATAGGTGGAAATCAGCCATCTTAAAGCAAGACAGATTGCGCTGCAGGATCAGTTGCTGAAGCTGCAGTCAGCGGCTCAGTCAGTCAATTCAGGAGCTGGCGGCGTGTCAGCACCCACCGCAGCATCTTCATTCGGTTACGGGGTCAGCCATCATGGTTCAGCTTTCCATGATGATGACATGGACTTTGGTGACATCATTTCTTCACAGCAAGAAATAAACAGATTGTCAAATGAAGTTTCAAGACTTGAGTCTGAAGTTGGCCATTGGAGGCATATTGCACAGGTAGGTACAATTTTGATGAATTTTTGAAAACTACGAGTGAGTGAAAATACTGGTGCTATGTATAGAGCTTTTGGTATCAGAAAGGACCATGGACTAGGAAATCGAAACCTGTGTTCTAATTCTGCCAATAACTTGCTGAGTGATTTCAGTCAGGTCATCTTTCTCTCTCAGCCTCAGTTTCCCCTTCTGTACAATATATGGGAGAAATTTTCAAAAAAATTTAAAGCAGCAGAACCATGTTGCAAAATAAAATAAAAAGCTATAAGCCCAGGGATAAAAAGGAGATAAAAATGGAGTTGCCATGGTTGAACCAGCACCTTTTCCCTTGGAGTTCTGAGGCTTCGCTGGTGGAAACCAGGGTTCCAAGGCCTCACTTAGATGTTGGCCAAGGGTCCTGTTTGCATTCGTTATATGTAAAATCAAAATCTGATCATTGGTATTATAAATTCGTTAGACTAGTTTGCATTGTTTTCTTGTATACTAGACATTTAAATCCTTGCTAGTTGGGGCTGTAAATTTTCTTCCAAGGAGTGCTTTTTTGTCTTACATGTCAGATTTTATGTGTACTACCAAAATTGATAGACATGAGACCTAAAATAATCTGCAACATTGTTCATGTGGATTTAATTTCATCAATGTAGAAAAAAATTATGTAAGTAAAGAGATGATTTTCTGTTATTTTGTGAGTGTAATCTAATTGTGTAAAGGAGAAATCATCCCAATGAAAGTGATCTCCTTGCTTCCCAAGTTGCTAGACATTGCTAATGCCCAAAATAAATCTAGAGAGAATGATCTGTTTGCCCGTCTTATGTCTAAAAAGTAGTAGTTCCTAAACTTGATGCCTGTAAGAACGACTTGGGGAACTGGACACTGTGGTAGAGTCCCTGTCCCCCCCTTCAGAGATTAGGATTTTGTGCCTATTTTAGGGCTTTGGAAACTGCATTCAAACACATAAATACCCCATGTGTTTCTGATACTATGAGGAATACATTTTAGGAAACATTGCTTAGGGTAATATTTCATAGGGAAGAGATGGATTTTTGGTATGTTTACTTTAGCATATCTTGGATGCCTGTTACTATATGGCAGACCTGTACTGCGATATAAAGGTGAAAAAGGCCTAATTGGGACCTTTCAGGGAACTTTTCTAGCAAGTCATAATAAAAGTTAATATTTGTATTTTACTTTATAAGATGTTTCCACATATATTATCCCAATATATATTATATTCTTAATAACCGTGTGAGGTATTTATCACTTCTATTTTGCAGGTGAGCAAAGTAAAAGTTTTTGAGTAACACAATGATTAACTTGTGATTCAAACACGTGTCTTTTGACTCCAAATCCTGTGTTCTTTTCATTATACTGTGTTCCTTTCATCCAGAGAGCGGCGTTTGGTTCCTTGACACACTATATATAGTAAATGTTAATAAAGGGAAATGAACAACGTACAGCTTTCAATGAGAAGAGAAGAATCCAGAAGTTCTTTTATTTACTTGTGAAACCAAAGGTTATTCTATATTGGTGTAGAGTTCTTTTGGGTAAAATCATTTAAAAAGATTTTTACTGTTATTAGCATTAATGTTGGGTAACTTTTCATTTTAGAAATTATCTTGTAGGAAGCTGCTTGATTATCATCAAATTTATATTTTGTTAAGTAAGTAAAATAGTCTGTGGTATTTTAATTTTTTTGTAAAAATGTTGTCTCCCCAATTAGTTAATATACTCTTGAATGGTATCTTTTATTTATGTGTATTACTTACTCCCTATTAGACTAGGTTCCTTAAAAGGTGTTTGGCATGCTTTAATCAGAATTTGACTGGGAAATGCCCCTTTTTTGAGAAGTATCTTTTAATAAAGTTAGTCTGTGACTGTCTCTTTTATAAGATAATCAATATAATTTTCTAATTCTGTTTTTCTGATCTAGATTTCTAAAGCACAAGGATCAAATAGCTCTGATCAAAGTGAAATCTGCAAACTGCAAAATATCATTAAGGTAAGGCAGATTGTTGGGACATTGGCTATTATACATTCAAAATTTGCTTATGAAAATTCAAAGGCCAAATTAATAAGAGGCTCAGTTATAAAAGTAATTATATAGATTATGATATTCATTTCTTTTTACTGTTGTGTATCTTCTTTATTCTTTATGACAAATATGGTGTATAAAATATCTTTCCAAAATCATTTGTTTTTGAAAATTTTTAAGTAGTTTATATTTTATAAGTATTTTTCATTGTATCTCATAAAATGGTCTTTATTAAAAGAGAATTCCAAGGTTGCTGAAATTTCAAGATTTAGGGTTAAAGGATATTGACAAAAATAAAATGCTAATGTTACTCATTTTAAGTAGTTTTCTTTTGATAGCATTTTGCTAGTTTGTGTCAATTATTTCCTTCAAGAAAAGGGTTAATTGCATATACTTACGGTAATGAATTATTTTTAGTTTGTAAATTATTGTCAGGTATAGATTTTTTGGTTTTGGGTTTTGTTACTATAGTACTAGTGTGGGTGGATTCCAGACCTGTGTTTGAATCCTGGCTCTGTTATTTACAAGCTGTGCTACTCTGGATAAGTTATTTAACCTTTGCAAACTTCCAATTTTATCATCAGTAAAGTAGATATCACAATTCCTCCTTTGTAGGATTGTTTTGAAGTGTAAATATAAAGCTTTCCAGGTGCTGGAACATAAGTACATAGGATTTGAGAGTAACGTCAGGAAATAGAGCTAATTTATAGAGTAGGATTCTTTATTACAAGCAACAAAACCACCTCTGGCTGGATAAAGCAAAAGAGGATTTCTGGAAGGATCAAGGGTAGTTTGTTCACAGAATGAAAGGAAGAGAGTTGAGCATTTTGGCCTCAGGGAGGGCAGGAATGGAAACAGCATCAGGAACTTAGGTAGCAGGACACAGTGGACAGACTCTTCAGTGTGCAACTATAATAATGCTTCAGGTCAAACCAATTTCCCTCTTTGAGGGATTCAGCTCAAGATCTATCTTCCTGGGAGAGAGTAGTGGTCTCAAAGGCACCTTGATTGACAGTTTGGGAGTCTCATCAAGACTGATGGAAGGTGAGGGCCGGTTGAGTGGCTCAGTTGATTAAGAGCTCACTTAGTGCGAGCTCTGAGCAACAGCGGTTCAATTCTCAGCCCGAGCTGAGCAGCTGCTGAGCTACCAACCAGTGGCAGCATTGCTCAGCTTACAAAAAAAACAAAACAAAACAAAACAAAAAAACTGATGGAAGGAAAGGCAGAGCAAGAGGATGGGGACTAGGACAGCAGGTATAGATCGGCCAGAAGGTCGACACTGATATTGGTGCAATATATCATTGCAGGAGAAGTTCATGGTAACAGATACGAAGGAAAAATATTTTTGCTCACTTTTTGTTTGTTTTTTGCTTGGTGGTGTTCCCTCATTAAAAGCAGAAAAACTTTTTAAGGCCCAAGAAAGGAAAGGGTGTGGAGTCTCAGAATTATCCAAAATTTGGGCCTGTGTTTAAATTATTTTCAGCCTTAGCATGCTCAGAGAATTATTTTTTATAATACAGGCTTTTGGACAACAATGAAATAGCTCAGGTAAATTTATTGATTAAAAATGTGGTTAACTTTGTTTTTGTTTTTTTAAGGAACTTAAACAGAACCGAAGTCAGGAAATTGATGATCATCAACATGAAATGTCGGTATTGCAGAATGCGCATCAACAGAAATTGACAGAAATAACTCGTCGGCATCGAGAAGAATTACGTGACTATGAAGAACGAATTGAAGAACTGGAAAATCTGTTACAACAAGGTTATTAATTTCATTAATTTAACATATTAGATGACATAATTAAATGACAAGCCTAGCACTGTAAGATCAGGACACTGATGTAAACTTGGGTAAAGTTCTAGAGAATGAGTAAATCACTAGTTCTGCTCATCGGCCAGAAATTTACAGTGGCACCACTGTTTTCAAAATTCTGCAAAAATGGAAAGGTCCTTTTACCTTTGTGGTAAATACTTATAATACAGAGACTTTTTTGCATTGTTTGGTATATTTTCACTTTCTTTCAAACTCAGATATATAGGCTTT